CTTATCCTTTAGTCATGCAAACGTGCAAATGAAAAGATTTGTTAGGGAGGAAGACAGTTTTTAGTGAACATGACAGTAGTCTCTATTAGTCTCCTTATGTGATCTCATCTCATCTCATCACAGATTACTTTATGTGTTACATACAAGATAACTTCATTGATTGACGATTTGACTTATTCCTTTTGTTACAAGCATACTTCTTACTTTCAATTACCTGCAAAGTTTTTATTTCTATTACTGACTGACTAATGAAAATTACGCTTTCGGTTTTGTATTTGCCATATATATATATATGCATGGTTTTTCAGCAATGGCATTCACCGAAGCATACGGTCCGAGCCTACCAACATTTGCAGATTTAAAGAATCACCTGCGCGAGGAACCACTTTATCTGCAGGTGTTGGAGAAATACTTGCGAAACACGGCTAACCTGGTATGTATAATTTTGATTTAAATTTGCTTATGATATTGTTTGTTGAACTTTCTATTAACTGTAATGACTGGTATGATTTTTTAGATTGAAGAACTGAGGGCGAAGTTGGAGAGTAGTGAGCGTGAAGCTCCTAACGTTGAAGAAGTAGGGGTTCCAAGAGCAGACCTGCGACGCCAGCCAACTCCGCCACCATCTCGCGAACAAGTAGAAGCGTTCCATCAATTTCTGGAGGGACAACGAGATCTGGAACGGGAAGTAGAAAATCGAAACCAGTTCGCGCTCCACCTCCTTGAACAACAACAGCAACAACAAGCGGAGTTGCACCAATATTTAGAGGAGGAAGAACCAGTACCGGCACTGGTTGACACTCCGGTCAGCCGGGAGGAGGTGGAGGAGATGGAGGAGATGGCGGAGTTACGGCAGATACCGTACGATGAAAATGAAGCAGATTTTAATGGGACACCAGAAGCGTCGGCAGGAAGTTCAGAACGCGACGAAGTTGAAAGCATCCGCGAAATAGTACTGTAAGTTTCATTTCTAATTGTGTAGATGTGACAACGACCATTCATAGATACTTGGTCATTTAATTGTTTGCAATGCAGTTATTTCTTAATTGTAGTATGTTTGCAAATGAGCATGTTGAATAAACAGTTAAGTCTATAAGAACTACTTAAAAGCACTGAGAGAATGATGTCTAGTTATGAATATTTTTCAGGCGTTCTCGGACAATACGAATTCCAATTGTGGAAGAACGACCAGTAGCCCCGGAAGCTTTCCACGCGCCGGAAGTGGAGGGATTACCGGCACAATATCAACAGCTGCTGGTGACGCCACCAATTGACCCGTACATTGTGATTCGAAATGCTGACGGGTCAACCACAATTGGTAAATTTAATTATATTTTATTAGTGAATGGGACAGTTTCACATAGATATTATGTATGAATCCAATACGAATTTGTCATATTTTCAGAGTGTGGCATGTGTCCGAAAGAATTTGGAACCTTAAAGGGATGGCGAATCCACGCTAGCAAAGTGCATAGACAAAGTGGTAAGTTTATCTTCGAACTTCAGTATACGTAGAGAGAAGTTTTTGAAAGAATTATTGTTATCGTTACCTATCTGTTTCAGGCTTTTGCCAGAAATGCGGCCACTTCATTAATATG